GTACATTCTCCTTGTATGAATCCTGAAACAAAATTATGCACGAAAAATTATCCTAAACCATTTTCTCCAAAAACAAATTATGAATCAAAAAATTATCCGGAGTATAGACGGAGAAATGATGGCAAAAAAATTATTTTTTATAATAGAGACGGGTCAATTAAATGCACTGCTGACAATTCGATGATTGTATCATATAATCCGTATTTAAGTAAAAAATTTGCATGTCATATTAACTTAGTAGCATGTGGTAGTACAGGTGGTATTAAATATTTATTTAAATATTGTTATAAGGGACATGATTATGCAATAGTTGGTTATAAAGATGATAATCAAGTAATGCATTATGATGAAATTCAAAATTATTTAAATACACGGTATGTGTGTCCACCAGAAGCAATGCATAGACTTTATGAATTCAATATGCACGAGCAATCACATGCAACATATAGATTAGCTGTACATTTGCCTAATCAACAATCAATATGTTTTCAAGAAGGAATGGAACAAACTGCAATTGAGAAATTTAAAAATACAATGTTGACAGCATGGTTTCAGTTAAATAGACAAGATCCTGAAGCACGCAAATATTTGTACTCTGAAATACCACATAAGTATGTTTTTGTTGAGTCATCTAAAACTTGGAAAAAACGAGAACGAATTACAAAACCTATAATTTGCCGAATGTATTTTGTAAGTCCAAAAGACATTGAAAGATATTTTTTGAGAATTTTACTACTTTATGTACGTGGTGCTAAATCGTTTGAAGATGTGAGAACATATGAAGGTATTATATATAATACTTATACAGAAGCAGCACGTGCAAGAAATTTGATGGTAGACGATAACGAGTGGGATAATTGTTTGACTGAAGCCGTGAGTATGAAATTTCCTAAAGAACTATGTCGTTTATTTGCATATATATGTGTGTTTGGTTTACCTGTGAATGCTGTTGATTTATGGAATAAGTTTAAAGAACACATGATTTTTGATAATAATTTACCTGTGGAAATATCGCTTCAAAAATCATTACTTTTAATTAATGAAGTATTTAATTTTCATGGATTTACATTACATCAATTTGGTTTACCAAACATCGATCTAAAAATTCTTGAAGATTATAGTTCTGTTGATAAGAAAGGTAATGCGTTAACATTACAATTGCTAAAAGAAGAAGCTAATAATCTTATTGAAAGTTTGAATGATGAACAACGGCAAGTTTTTAATGATGTTATGATGGCCGTACATAATGATGAATATGATAGTAGATATTTTTTTCTTGATGGGCCTGGAGGAAGTGGTAAAAGCTATTTACACAATACTATTATTACTACAGTCGAAAGTGAGGAAATAGTAGTTTTATCAGTTGCTTGGACTGGTATAGCGGCTAATCTTCTAAAAGGAGGACGAACGTCACATTCTATGTTTAAATTCCCTATACCAATCAATGAAGATTCAACATGTAATATAAGTGGAATGTCGAAACATGCTGAACTTTTAAGGAGTGCAAAAATTATTATTTGGGATGAAATTTCAATGGCCCCAAAATATGCTTTACAAGCAATGGAATCCATGTTAAGAGATATTACAAAATGTAATAAACCGTTTGGAGGTAAAGTTATTTTGCTTTCAGGTGATTTTAGGCAAACTTTGCCAATTGTTCCGCATGGTAGTCGCACTCATATTGTTGAGGTTTGTGTAAAAAATAGTAAATTGTGGAAATTTCTGCTTTTCTGCATTTCTGCTTTTATAAAATTCTTTTTATTAAAATATTTGAAAATAATATTTTTTATAATTTTTATTTTTTCAAATAACAATGTATTTCTTATCGAATTAAATTAAAAATACTTGGATCAAAGCAATTTTTAAAGTTCTACAAGTTATTTATATGAGAATTTAAAATTTACTTCAACTTTTTTTAGAATTTAAAAAATAAGATTTTCTTTAATATTTTTGGTTGTTAAAATACCAATAATTTCGTAATTTCTAATCTAATTAGATTTAAAAATAGTCCAATCGAAGCGATTTTTAGTGCTTTTTGTAAGGGTCATAAAAACATTAACAAATAGAGATTGAAAAATTTTACTATAATAATACTTTCTCATGACGAAGCAAAATTATTAAACTTTGAAAATTAAATTTTTTTTATTTATTTACGTGATCGTTTTAAGAAATACTGACCCATAATCTTTATTTCAAAATGCCTAAATCACAAAACGAAGTATTAGACGCGCGCTTTAGCGCGCGTTAGATTGCTAGTTAAATAATAATTAAATAACTTTTGAACGACCAAACGAAATTGAATGAGGCAAACACTAAACAAATCTTTGCTGTGGTTTCTTTAAGATTCCGAAAGAATTTTAACAACGGGCATCTTCATACAAAATTTTGTATAAAAGTATTCGAGATTTTAGACATTTGATAAATATTAGACATTCGGGAAAATGACCGGAAACGATTTTACTCATCATATATAGCACTTACTGCTTTTTAAAATTTAAGATTTATTTAATTTTTCAATAACGTTTAACAAGTTAGTTAACAGTTTAAAAACTTATTTATTATTTAATATAAAAAAATATTTTAAAAATAAAGAAACTTAAAAAAATGTTCATGGTTCACCCTAAGTGACCTAAATTTTCAGGTTATGTTTGCCTATTGAAAATATTTATCCTATTGTGGAATAACCCTAAAAGATTTAAATTTTGAGGTCATGTTCGAAAAACTTTGAATATTAGTATCAGCAAAATTATTTAATATCAAGAGTCAATTATTTAACTATTAATTAATAGTTTAATAATAATTAAAACCCTTTTTTGATGTAAATATATAAAAACTTTATTATACTATATTAAAACGACAATTAAAATCAACCAGATAATTTATAAAACGAATTAATTTAAATTTTTACCGTCGATTAAAATCATCTCTTTATTTTTAACATCCTTTTCCTTTGAAAGTTTCTTAATTAAAAAAGTTATTGCTTTCAACGGCGAATGAAATACAATTTTTTTTTCTTTCTTTTTCTTAAATGAAATGGTGAGGATAGAGATGTTGAAAAAATTAAGAGTGAAGGGGAGGGGAGAGGGGGGGGGGATTTTGGAAAGAAAAATTAATAATAACTAAAATTGTGGTTATAATAAAACGTCGTAATTTTGACTAGACAGAGAGAAAGAGAAATAGTGGTATATACAAAGAAAGAGAGTGAGAGAGTTGGGCTTAGGACGAACTTGACCCATTGAAAGTGCTTGGCAGATTAATCAACTTGGTTTGGAGAAAACGTATATGTAACCCGTTTTTTTCTTACGTAAATTCCGACTTCTGTAAGGCTTCTTTCAACGTTTGCCAAGTAAATTTAGAAACAAAAAAAGAAAACAAAATTTTTTTTAATAGTCCAAAAAAGGAAAATGTTTTATTTGTAGAGTGTCAAATTTTCTACAGAGACGAGAAATTCTGCTGTTTTTTATTTTATTTGGTAGAAATTATAAATTTATTTTATTTTTATTAAAAATTTTCAGAAAAAAAGAAGAAAATTGATATGGAAATTATTAAAACAGTCGCTTCTTATAATTCATAATTTCATATTGATACGATTGTGAACATAACCTTAAAATTTAGGTCAAAAATCGTTGGTAAACTTATGACAAAAAAGAGAAACAAAGAAACGAAACTTTTGGTGTTCAATGAGAAACATAACCTTTGAAAATTCGGTCTGAGAGAGAATTAGAACAATTTAGGTCAAGAATATACATAACCTTAAAAAGTCGGTCAAAAAACGAAAGTAAAACTAAAATTTAGGTCAAGAGTTTCGATAAACTAAAAAAAATCGAATAAAAAACAAAGATTTTGGTTAACTGCTAATTAACCTCATTATTACAGCTTATTATAAATTACCTACCTTAAAAAATCGGTCAAAAGCGAATGCAAAACAAAAATTCAGGTCAATAGTCAAATATTAACCTGAGGTCAAAAATGAAATATAACCTCTCAAAAGTAATTAGTTTAAAAGCAAAGAGAAAATAAAAATTCAGGTCAAAGAGCGCATTACAAATCGGAAGTCAAAAGCAAATCGAGAAATATGAATCGAAAATTTAGGTCAAAAACGAATTATAAAATACTTTAGGTCAAAAACGAGTATGACCTTAAAAAAGTTAGTAAAAAGTGAATACCAAATAAAAATTAATGGAAACCAAAGGCCCAAAAAAAGTATAACCTTAAAAAAATTGGCCAATAGCGAATGGAGAACAAAAATTCAGGTCAAAAGCTAGAACCTGAGGTCTAAAATATTATATATTTATATCAACATATAATAAATTTTCGACCTTAGGATTATATTTATAAAGTCTGAGGACAGAAACAAATATAACCTTAAAAAATAGGTCGAAGAGCAAAAAATAAAAAAATTAGGTCAAGAGCAAAATATAAACCTGTGATCAAAAAAGAAACCTCAATAAATAATTTTTCGAAAAGAACCTCTATAAAATCGGTCAAAAAACGAATCAAAAACAAAAAATTCAGGTCAAGTGATACTTTTACAAAAACCTGAGGTCAGAAAGAAATGTAAAATTTTTTAAAGTCGATAAAAAAAACTTTTTGACCTCAAGTTAATATGTATAATATCTGAGGTCGGAAACAAATATAACCTTAAAAATTAGGTCGAAAAGCGAATGAAAAATAAAATTTTAGGTCAAGAGCAAAATATAAACCTGAGGTCAAAAAGAAACATACATAACCTTGAAAATTACTGTCATAAAAGCGAATTTAGGTCAAAAACGAAGTATGGGCATAAAGTTTAGGTCAAATTTTACATTTGAGGAAAAATTTTTTTTGTGATAGTAAGAAATGAGTCATTTTTAAATTGGTAAAAATTGTTATTTGGGTTTTTATAAAATTGTAAACCAAATGAAAAAAATTTATTAGTGAAAAATTTATTAAATTAGTAAAAAAAATATTTGTTCGCCTTATTTATTTAATTTTATTATTTGAGAATGTAAATTATTTACGTTCGAGTTGCTGATCAACTTGAGCTTGTAATGTGTTGAAATTTGAAGTTGGCTGATAAGGCTGTCGATCGCGATAACCGCCACAAGCAAATTGATAAAAATCCTTGCAAGGATCAACGCCTCTTTTCATGGACGACATGAGTTTAAGAGATGCTTCGTAACATGCCTTTGTCTCGCAGACTCCCTCAGGACCGTCCCTTTCCCTGATACATGCATCGTCCTAAAACAGAGAAAAACGCGAAATGAAAATTTCAAATATTTATATATAAATTTTATTAAAATTTTGTCTTTTTTTAAATTGTTTTAGTTTTTCATATTTTTTAAATAAACAAAATAAGAAAATTGTTTATTAATAATATAATATAATTCTTTTTTTCTTTTTTTTGCAGAAAATTTGTTACACATTTGAAGCTGTAAGCCAGGAACAAACTCGTGTGAGTTTTTTTGATTAATAATTGTTTATATGAAGCCGAAGTCCGCAACATTTTTAAAAACGAAAAATCCAAAAAGAATTTTTTTTCAAGTTAAATTTATCTTTAATTTTTGTGTTTGTTAATTTTTAAGAAATTAATTGTTATACTTGAAAGACAATTATTAAAAAAAAACATGATTTAGAATAAAAAATAAAAAAAAACTGTCCCCCTATTTTTTCGTTTTTGTTTTTAAAAACGTTGCGGACTTCGGCCTCTCTTGTTTATAACTAATTATAATATACTGCTTCTCATTTTAAAAAAATGTTTCTGTATTTACTATGACGAATAATTTGAATTTAAACAATATTTTTTAAAAATATTTTTAAACTTCATATTCAATATTCATAATATTCGTATTCACTTTGGTAAATAATTTTAAGTTAAATAATATTTTTGAAAAATATTTTTAATCATTTTTCAAAAAAACTTTTAAACATTTTTTAAAAGAAAAGTTAAACTTGTTTAATTGTAATAACTTTTAAAAGTTTAAATTAAAATTTTAAATTAAATTAAATAACTTTTTAAATGTAATTAACCGATCACTGCAAAAAATGGCGTCTAAAAGTAAGACGTTTAGACGTTTATAAACGTCTTATGTAAATAAGCGTCTTATTTGAGCGTCTTAAATGAAAAACATAACCTCCAAATACATGCATTTTAGAAGGCAAATAAGACGCTTATAAACGTCTTCAATGTGACCACGTAAACGTCTTAAACCAAGACGCTCTTTTTTTACAGTGATGTACTGTCTGAAAAATAACCGATTTTTTATTTTAGTTTTAATATTTATAAAAACTAGTATAGAATATACATTATTTTGTATATTAATAAGAAATTTTCCATTTGGTACGAAAAAAAATGTTCTATTATAAAAGAATTTTTTCCTACGAATTAAAAATATTTTTACGAACATTATTTCTCAAAGTTCATTATTTCAAGCTCGCTTTACGAACTTTTGTTAAATCTTGGAAGAGTTAAATATAATTAAGTTCTTTTTTAGAGAGGGAGGGGGGGGATGAATTATCGAGAATCTGTCTTGATAGTTTAAATAGTTGGTAAAATATCTGGAAATTATTTTAAAATTAAGAAAATATATTATTATTTATTTTCTGATGTATTATATTTATTTAGCTATTTTTTTATTTATTTATTTAGTTTTTCATTTTTTTATTTATTTAGTTTTTATTTATTTATTTACTTAGGGGAACATAGTCGAGGTCGGCCCACTTTTTGACTTTTGTTTATAATTTTTTTTTAAAAATGAATTTGGACAATTGAAGTATATGGTTGGAAAGTCCTGTTTAATAGGAACATCTTTTCTGTACAAAGTCAATTGATTGGTTTTAAAATGAAAAAGTTATTGTTTACAGTTTGTAACTTAATGAAATAACAAAAATAAAAATAAACAATATAAAAAAATAAATATAAATAAAAAAAAATTTTGCACTGAAATATTAATAAAATTAAATAAAAATATTAATAAGATGATCAATTATATTATGAGTTATACAGAATTACAGTTTTTGCAAACGAAGTAGCTCGTCCTCATCTTTGCGCATTTTAAACACATAGTGGCCGACCTTGACAGAAAGTAACATTACCGAATTGTTGTAACCATAAAGAAATACGTTTCGGGATTCGATTTTTCACTTTGATTTTCTTTCAACAATGAGTCCCACAAAATTTCTGCATGCTTGCCTTGACGATTCAATTTTTTTTTTATCTTTTATTAATGATTTTTCACATGATGCACAAAACTTTTTTTGAGCTTTTTTTGTACCGACGTCACAGAAAACACAATTTTCGATTCTCCGAAAATGTAATTGAACAAAAAGTTAGGTTTTACTAAGATAAGCTTCGACAAGCATGCGCGTAGGTGGCGCTAGTGAACTTGACAAAAAAACGCGAATGGCCTACCTAGACAGTGGTCCAACCTCGACTATACTCCCCTATTTAATTTATTATTTATATTTCCTTTCCTTTTTCCAATTTTTTATGAAATATTTTACAACGAAACTTTTTTGAAAGCAAAAAAAAAGGAATAAACAATAAAAGACGGTAATTTTCTTTACGACTATGATTGAAATTATTCCCTAAAGTGAATAAAGAAATCTAATTTTATTTCATTTAAAACCCCTTTTTTTGTTGAAACTGTGTATAAACTATATACATAGTTGAAGAGAAACGTTTTCGACAAATTACGCGAACGTGCTACAAATGCGACAATTTTCTGGTTATTTCACTCGAAATCTAAAATGATTATTTTCACGTAGACTTTTGCGCGCAGTGAAAATAAAATAAATAAAAATCACAGTAGGAGTTAAAAAAGTTTAGCCGCAAGAGGAAAAAAATTCGATTTTAGAGGCAAAAAAAATTAACAAACTCTTTAAATTTGAAAATTTATTTATAACATTTATTTATTATACTAAAGTTATTTATTTATTATTTATACTTAGATACTAAATTATTAATTCATATTAAATTGTATATTTGTGTAATTGTTTGTTAAGAAAACATTATTAATTAACCAAACCCGTGTAGAAATTTAACCATGGCCCAAATCGGGGCCAGATCTTTTGATCATTGTGTAGGCCATAACATGGCAATTTCTACACGGGAACTGCACTTTAAAGAAATTTTAATTTTATTGATTCTTTAAAATTAATTTACTTAATAATTTATTTAATTAATTAAGTCACCCAAATAAGAATTTATTTATTTAATTAGCTTAATAATTTGTAAAAAGTTTTCAAATGAAATAGAAAAATTTTATTTTTTGAAAAATTAATTAACCTAACTGTACTTAAAAGTGACTTTAACTTATACTAATTTTGTTTAATTAACTACCTAGTAAAAATTAATTAATCTAGCTTTATTTTAAAATATTGTTAACTTATTAATTTCTATTCATTTATAAACTAAATAAAAAATAAGGTTTTAAATTAAACTAAGTTAATCAATTAAATGAAATTTAGTTAAAATTATTTCAAAGTACAGTCGGGTCAATTAATTTTTTTTGCAAAAAAAATTTTTCTATTTTATTCAAGTACTTTGTATTTTTTAGATAGTTAATTGAAAAAATTAATTAATTAATTTATTTATTTAATTTATTTACGAAATTAGATATTAAATAATGAATAAAACAACTTTGGTTAAATAAATAAATTTTATAATTTTAATAAATATTTGAATTTATCACTCGGTCGTATTAATTTTACAATTTTAGTATATTTTTATTTAATTATTTATTTATTAAAATATTATTTACTGTAATATATTTTTAAAAATAATTTTACTACATTTCATAAAATATTTTCGATTGTATTATTATTAATCCCTTCACAGTCAAGACCAAAATCTCATAAGTGGGCTCAAAATGTCGACAACTTTTTAAAATTTGCGCAAACGACCATACTATTGTTTTTGAAGTCGCTGATTACGAATCCGATATCAGATTTTGAAAATTCAAAATGGCGGATCCAATATAACGGACGACATTTTTAAAAATTCATCGGATTCACTTGAAATTTTTTACTCGGAGGTTTTGGGGGTCGCTGATTACGAATCTGATATCAGATTTAGAAAATTCAAAATGGTGGATCCAATATGGCGGACGACATTATTAAAAATTCATCGGATTCACTTGAAATTTTTTACTCGGTGGTTTTTGGGGTCGCTAATTACGTATCTGATATCCGATTTTGAAAATTCAAAATGGCGGATCCAATATGGCGGACGAAATTTTCAAAAATTTATCGGATTCATTTGACACTCGTTACTCGAGGGTTTTCGCGAATTACGAAAAACTTTTTAAACGATAATAAATACAAAACCTTAACTCCGCAGTCAGTTAGTAAGTATATTACGTTACTAACGACCCCAGAGTGTACCACATAGAGGTATGCGGTCGGATTTTACACTCCTTTATTATTTTTGTTTTTTTAATATTTCTTTTGTTCTTATATTGGATCTGCCATTTTTAAAACCGATATTACATTTTAGTCTACGACATCAACAACAACATCAATCAAAATTACTGGTTGATTGATAATGTTTTAACGTCCGTATCTTTAATTTGTTGATTAATTTTAATTCGTTTTAATTTAATTCGTTAATCAACAAAATTACTGGTTCATATATTGGATCCTCCATTTTCCAAACCAATATTACATTTTTAATCTACGACCTCAATAAACTCCAAGTAACAAGTTTTAACCACCACATTGCATTTTAAAAATCTGATGCTAGATTCGTAATCAGCGACGCCGAGAACACCTGAGTAACAAGTTTTAAGTGAATCCGATGAATTTTTAAAAATGTCGTCCGCCATATTGTATCTGCCATTTTGAATTTTCAAAATCTGATATCGGATTCGTAATCAGCGACCCCGAAAACCCCTGAGTATTAATTTGTTGACTGCCAAGGGGTTAAATACACCTTTTACTAAAATTTTTGAAAGTGAGTTAATAAATAAAATTTGCCGAAAAATTAAGGTATTGTTAACAATAGAAATTAACAATTTTATCTTCAATTCTTAAAAAAATTTTAAAAGTGTACAATTTAGAATTATTTCCTTTAAATTTTAAAATTAAACGATACATGGAAATTTTCTGTTTTTCTGGCCTAATTATGAAAAAAATATGAAAATTTAATAAGATATGAGAATATTTGTTAATTTAAATTAATTAATTGTTAATTTTTCGTAAATTTCAAGAAATTGGAATAAAGGTCAGGTTGAAGGATTAAGCCTTGACCCAAGGTAAGGTTGACATTAGCCTCGAAACCTTACCTTGTGATATGGCTTCTGTAACGTTTGCACGTGCGTTGCCACAACAGATACTTTAACAATTATTCACATTTTAGATAGATTTTTAAAATAATTTTCAAAAAAATAAATAACAAAAAGAACTACAATTTATTTATTTTATTTATTTATTTAAGTAGTAAACGGGCTTACAAAAAAAATAAATGCCCTTTCGTACAAATGTACGAATAATAATTAATAAATTTAAAAAACACAACAATAGTGCTAGGCTGCAGCATCACTTTAACGTGTTAAGTATATGATTTCCCTTAAATTTTCATCTTTTTTTAAAAAACATAATAAGAAAAATAAAAAATTCCTATATTTTAAAAATAGAAATTTTTTAAATTTCTACATCACTTTTTGCACTTGATTAATAAAGAATGTCCATACTTTGTTTATTAAAAATAAAAAATTTATATTTAAAAAACAAGTTTGGTATTTTAGGAAAAAATTTTTAAACAACAAATTTGAGATAAAAAAATAGTCTTTGAAATTAAATTAATTTTTTTTTGAAACTAAATTTCTAAAATTTTGTAGAAAAAATTTCAATTTTCTTGTTGGTTCTTTTATATTTACTTTTCTTTGGTGAAAAAAATATTTTTGGCAGATAGATTATTGTATTTACAAGATGGGGGTCTATGTCATTCATATACTGAAAAGGACTTGAAAAATTATCGGCATTTGGCAGGTATTACGATCAGATAATACACATAGAAGTGGCTTTTATATAAATCGGATAATAAAAAACTGGTAGCGAGCCAATAAACTTTGTATCAATAGTACACTGCTGATTTTAAAATGACGCAACGTCAAAGCAAATACCCTCACACTCATACATTAGATGTATAAAAAAGAAAGAAAAAAATACACCTTTAGCCAATTTTGTTGAATTTCTTTTTCAGCAAAATCTTGAGCCAAAAAATCCGCAGACGTTTATCACTAAAAAAGACTTCTATTAGAGTAAAAGAGGGTAAAAAATATATGTTTTATACATCCGTTCTCAATTGCAATCGGAAAAACAAAATTTCAATAAATCATTGGCAAATTGAATTGAACCGCGAATGTAGCAAAAGGATTTTTTAGTTTTTTAGATTCATTTTACGTTTATTTGAAGTCGGGTTTCTTTTTCTTCTTTTTTCTGACCTAATCTACTAGTTTGCTTGATGGCAATGTAGAAAACTGTCTTAATTTTTTTTTACTTAAATCAAAAAACAATAGTAGAGGCACTTAGTTCAAGCATTGAGTATTAAAGTTACCTAAAGATCTTGGAAAAATAATTTATTCTTTGAGAAATTGAATTTAGTATTATGCACCATAATATTGACTAAATTCATTTTATAGAAAATTTATCTACTATTTCGATTAGCGATAATGTAGAAATCTTTCTTAAAAATTTTTAATTCGTGAAAAATAATAATAGAGGCCTTCAAGGCAGACATTGGACAAAAGAATGGAATTAAGATCTTAATAATATTGCGTGAAAATATTTACTGCCGAATTTCTTGTTTTAAAATTTAAAAATATATTTAGAACTTTGTTAAGAAGTTTCCACTTTAATAGTCTCAGAATCTACACTATTTTTCTTGTCGTAAATGAGAAAATTAAATCGAAGAATATATCTATTATTTCGATTGCTGGTAATGTAGAAATCTATCTCAAGAATTTCCAATACAATCGAAAAATAGTAGTAGAGGCACATAAGGCGGACATTAGGCAATAGAATGGAGTAATAATCTTCAAAATATTGCTTATCGTTTGTGCGATTAAAAGCATAATATTTACTCTAAGTCATAAATTACTATTTCGACAATCGGTAAAGTAGAAAACTGTCTTATTTTTTTAAAAAGTTTAATTAAAAAATAATAGTAAAGGCATTTAGTTCAAGCTTCAGGTAATAAAATTACCTAAACATCTTGAAAAACTAGTTTATTGTTTACGAGATATAGAATGGAAAATTGCGAAATATATGTTATTTGCATTACAGCTAAACTTCCTTTATTTTTAATTTAAAAGTCTATTTGAGAAGTTTATAGTAGTTCCCACTTCAACAGGGTCAAAATAAATCGCTATATTTTGCTATTGAAAAAATCGAATTTAAAAATAAATCTACTATTTCGACTGTCGGTAACGTAGAAATCTAATTTAGAAATTTAAGATACAAGGGAAATCAATAATAGATGTAAAATCGTTAGATTTAAATTAGTATAGGTCGAAGATTAATGCTTCAAAACAAAATATTTTTTCGTCGGTAATGCAGAATTCTATGCTAAAGATGCATCCTAGTAACTAAACTGAATGATAGTAAAATCTTGAAATTTACCGACATTCTTAGTACCAAGCAGAAATCTACTATTTTCGTCTGTCGGTAATGTAGAGATTGTAGATTTTTTTACTTAAATTAAAAAGCAATGGTAGAGGCACTTTGTTTATGGACTAAATAATAGAATTGTATGAAAATTAGAAACAAATAATTTGTAGATTAAGGAGGAATTAGTCGAAATGATGGATTAAGTAGTGTAACTTACGACAGGACTGCATTCGAGTGGCTGTTCGCCTTCCGGCAATGTGGTGATGAGAAATAGAACTGGACTGGTGACAAGTAGGCTAGTGACAAGAAGCATGGCAAATGTGAGTAGGGCCTTGTGAACGGCTTTGCTTCTTCGAAGCCAGAGACATGGCATACAACAGACCCATGACCCTGATTGTTCGTTCCTCTCGTTATTGAGCATTGGCTCGTCGGGAGGTGGCGCAACATCCTCACCACCTGACACCGATGTCGTTGATGAATTGGCATTCTGATCACGAAGCCCCGATGACGACGATGTCGATTGTTGTGGTTGTTGTGCAGCAGCATTTGGGGCTTGGGAGCCGGCCACTTGGGATGTTGATCCACTGCCCGGGGCACACAATGTGCGGGGACTTAGGGGCAAACGGACGGTTGTCTCGCCACGTGAGCGGACCCCACCACCACGGACCCGTCGCCCACCGCCGTAACCCTGGTTCAATGTACACAGAGCCACATTTGCCGGGTGACCCCGAACTTTCGGCCTCAATCACGCCAGACTTTTTATCAAATTCCTTGAATCGCGAATCGTCCAGCTTTGATCGACTCCGATCAATCTTGATAACAACTACCGGGACCATTGAGTTTTCTTAAATCAATATTGGACATTTCTTTTCTTTTTCTCTCTCGCTCTCTCTCTCTCTCTTTCGCCTTGGTTCTCCGCTGAATTTTTCTGCAACAAAAAATTTTTTTTATTAGTAGATCTTGCTGGCGAAGTCACTTTCCGACTGTACTTGTATTGGCAAGCGAAAATCTACTGTCGGTAATGCAGACATCGTAAAAAAAGTTCGACTCGAAAAGTAAAACATCGAGATCGGTAACAATTACGAAGTTACCAAAGAAATACTATGTAGACTCTTTAAGGAAAGTCACTTACCGACTGTACTTGTAGTGGCAAGCAAAAATCTACTGTCGGTAATGCAGACATCGTAAAAAAAGTTCGACTCGAAAAGTAAAACATCGAGATCGGTAACAATTACGAAGTTACCAAAGAAATACTATGTAGACTCTTTAAGGAAAGTCACTTACCGACTGTACTTGTAGTGGCAAGCAAAAATCTACTGTCGGTAATGCAGACATCGTAAAAAAAGTTCGACTCGAAAAGTAAAACATCGAGATCGGTAACAATTACGAAGTTACCAAAGAAATACTATGTAGACTCTTTAAGGAAAGTCACTTACCGACTGTACTTGTAGTGGCAAGCAAAAATCTACTGTCGGTAATGCAGACATCGCAAAAAAAAGTTCGGTTCGAAAAGTAAGACATCGAGATCAGTAACAATTACGAAATTACCAAAGAAATACTATGTAGACCTTTTAAGGGAATTTATTTACCGACTGTACTATCAGTGACAAGCAAAATCTATTGTCGGTAATCCAGAAAACGCAAATGAAGTTTGATTCAAAAACTAAATCATCGAGATCAGTAACAATTCTGATATTACCAATGAAATACTATATAGACTCTTTAAGGGAACTGATTTACTGACGGTACTATCAGTGACAAGCAAAAATCTATTGTCGGTAATGCAGAAAGCGCAAAAAAAAGTTTGATTCAAAAATTAAATCATCGATAACGGTAACAATTCTGACCAATCAAACATTATACAGACCAATCACGGAAGTGATTTACCAACAGTACTAGCAGTGACTAACGTAAATCTATAGTCGGTAATTCAGAAAACTGGGTTAAAATTTTTTAAATAAAATCGAAAAATAATAGAAACATTTAGTTTAAATATGAAAGAGTAGAATGACTTGAATTCAGAACTTACTTACTAATAGTGTTTTTAAATTAACCGTCGGTAAAGTAGAAAACTGGCTTAATTATTCTTAGTAAAATCAAAAATTAATAGTAGAGGCATTTAGTTTCAACATTAAAGGAGAAAATTGCAAACATTTAGAACTCATTTACTAATTGTATTATAAAAAATACTGTCGATAATGTAGAAAACTGTCTTAATTTTTTTTTAGTGAAACTAAAAATTAATAGTAGAGGCACCTAGTTTAAACAAAAGGTAGTTGAATTACATAAAAATCTAGAAAATATCATAAATATTTATCGAGAATAAAAGTAGAATATATTAAAATTGTCATTCGATTATCAAATTTCTCAATGATTTTTATTTTTGATTATCTATAATTTTGTTCTACCACTCTTTTTTCTGATAAACTATTGGATATTGTCATATATATATATGAAGAGGTAATAAAACTAGGACGTCGTGTATACATACTTTTCTTTAACGGACCACTCAATTGTTTTATTTATTGATTTATAAATTGCGAAGACCAAAAGAAAAGAAAAAAAGGAAGGAAATATTTTTAAGACACACTATTGCAAAGCTAGAACATTGGGATATTCGATTTTCAAGAGATCAGTGGAATTTCATTTCATTCGATATATTTTTAAGTCAATTGAATAAACTCAGGGTCGTCACACATATACACAAATAGTAACCGGGAAAAGGTTTTTTTTAAAAAAAAGGAAAGAAAAAAAGAGGAAAGAAAAAAGAATGAAAGAATGAAAGAAAAAGAGAAAATGATAGAGAAAAAGAATGAGATCTCCGTAAACCCTAGAAAATAAATAGAAATTTTTGAAGAAGCTCTTTCAAAGCCTTCAGATTCTTTTATCTTAAACATTTTGTGAGTACGTGTTCTGTACCTTTGAATTCTAAATTACTGTATTATTGTAGAAAGTAGAGAAAATTGATTATTTGTTTGAAAATTCTTTTTCTCTTTTTATGATAAATTTGTAATCTAAAAATGTTTATATATTTTTTGATAAATAAGCATATATTATTTTATTGTTTATTAATAATAATAATAATAATAATAATAAAAATAATGAATATAATTTTTTATTATTAATAAATATTAACTATAGTTTTTTTTATTGGAAATATTAATTATATTATTATTTATTTATTCTATTATATTTTTTATTTTAAATAATATTCATTTTCTATTATATAAAAATATTTATAGTAAATATTATTTCAATTAACAATTATTTAAAATTTGTATGGTGCATTTGCAATTTGTGTCACATTACCCCATACTGGTAATATTTTACCCCATTGCTAAGAAAGTTTACAGTAGATAAATAAGATTACAGAATAGCAATATTTTTTAATGACACTTGTAATTTATTTATAATTTATTTATTTATAATGACCCCTGTAACATATTCCCCAACTAGAGGGGGTAAGATGGTAACATTTTACCCCTTTTTTGTGAGTAATTTCACCCCAACAGTAATAACTACTTGGCTAGTTGGCTAGCAGTTATTTTTTTATTCTTACCTTTTATTCTTACCTTGTGATACATTACCCCAGTCTTGTTTTTTTCCCTAAAAGTATGTCATATTACCCCACGACGAAAAAAATTATCTTTTTAGTTTATTTATCAAAATCTAGGAAACCTCTTCCCTCTGTGTCACATTACCCCACCTTCAATGACACTTTACCCCAATTTTACAGTCAATCACGATTTTATTTATTTTATTATTATTTACTCTCCGATTTTAAACGTATTATTTTATTTTAGAAATTTAAAAAAATACCTTGTGTTCTTCTACTCTGTACCTACAAAAAATATAATAAAAAATCAAATTTATTCCTTTATAGAGAATATTAAACCATCGTTTTCATCAGTGACGGAAATTTGATATAAATCATTTCTATTTCTCGCATTGTATATAAATTTGATTTTTTCGCAAAAAAAAATTATCTGTTATTTTGATAACATTTTTCTTTTTCTTCTTTTTTTTTTTTTTGATTTGGCGAAAATAAATCTTTTTCGTTCGCAAAAAAGATTGCCGAGTTCCATTAAGAGTAGTTGCACGAGGTTTTGAATTTTTTAAAAGTTGCCCTGGAAATGTGAACTTTTCAAATTGAATTTAACGATCATGTAAACTCTATCGTGTTGCGTTTGTTTTTATATATAAATTTGAAACGAAACAAAACGAAATATATTTTCTCTGGAAATTATTTTTCTCAAACTTCATTTTTCCATATAGATTGAAAATTATTTTTTAATCTTTTTAATTTTGAAAAATATTTGTAATATTTGAATTGAAAAAAAATATTCGTTGTTTTTTGAAATTTCTGTCTTAATGCTTTTTTTTGTTTTAATTTTTTTTTTATTTTCTTTTATTTTTTTTTTAAATTTTATGTATAATTTATTTTAAATTTACTATTTTTCAAAAAACAAATTATTGTTATTGAATATCAAAAGTCGTCCCAAGAATATTTTCTCGAAATTTACTTTTTTATTTTATTTTGTTTTAATCCTTTTTTTTCGTTTGTTTTTTCTTATTTTTTTCTTTTTTTTCTTTTTTTTTTGTTTTCTTTTTGGTTTGTTTTTTCTTATTTTTTTATTTTCTTTTTTTTCTTTATTTTGTTCTAAATATTTTTTTATTGTTTAAATTTTATTTATAATTTACTTTAAATTCACTATTTTTCAAAAAAAAATTGTTATTGAATATTAAAAGTCGTCTAAAGAATAATTTTTCGAATTTTATTTTTAAACAAAAAAACAACATCAATAAGAAAGAATTTAGGGATAATTTTCATGCAAAAGAGAAAATGAATTTTCAGAAATGATTATCATGAATATTATAGATTTATTGTTTTTGAATATGGAACGACAATCATCGAGAAATAAACACCACTGAACTATTTCCGGAATATCTGAATCGATTTCTCTATAACAGAATTCCTAGTTAAGGACAACTTATAGTTACAAAAAACCTTATCCGACTTTTTTTTCTATACTAAAGCAACTTTTTTTTGTCAATGTTTTACTACTGAAAATTTAATTTGCAATATGATGATCTTTAAAAAAAAAACGAAATTAATATTCATCTTTTTAAAAAAAAACCTTTTTTCATATTTAAAAAAAGGGCCAAATTTTAAATTTAATTTTTTAAAAATTCCTTTTTTTAAATTCATTTAATGAATATGTATTTGTGGTAAGGTCCATTTTTATATTAATGTCTAGAAAAAAAATTCGTCTATTTTCTACTTCTATTTTATTTTATTGGAATTTTTATTGTTATTTACCTTTCTGAAAAAATAACGATAATCCGTTCAGTAAATGATGAATGGTTGAAATTTTTCTTTTGGTATTTACAATATTTATTTTATAAAATGAAATATATTTTTATTGGCAG